AAAACTTTGGACCTTGGTGAGAAAGCTGAGCCAGTGCAAAACAAGGAAGACTGTTCCCAAGATCGGATTGTTTCAACCCGTTTCAAATGTGAGTAAAAAGTGTTTGAATTTTGGAGGTTTTGGATTCCTGTCGACAACAACAGGCTTGTCGAAGGTGATGCCATGGGCATTGCATGTTTTGGTGAGCAACGCATATTTTTGTCCCTAGCCTAGCACTGTGGGAGTAGCAGTACTTGTTTGGACAATAAACATTCTATTTGTATCTATTTGTCTTTTGAGTGCTTGATTTGTGGTGCTCACATTAAAGCTTTTACGGCAGACCGAACTTGGCCACCAGGTATTCCTCGGAAGGCTGTGTGGCTGGAAAAAGATACCCAGTGCAGCCTGAAATCCCACCCACTGTCCTAGGAATGCTGAGATCCATTGATCATCCATGTTCACTTCTGTGCGCGCAAACAATCTGAGTCCTAAGTCTGACAGAGGCCGCAACCTATTAGAGGCTTACAGTCGGTAGACATTGATACGTAGAGGTCCGATCTCTTTTCATCTCCGCGATCTACGCGCCAGGCACAACGTGGACGGACGCCTCCTCCATCGAGCCCCGATCGCTCTGACTGGTGCTTAGTCGTGTCCGGGCGTCTCGTGACGTCGTTTTTCAACGCTTTGGGACAGCGAAGCGATGGTCGACAGCGAAGCTGACATTGGTGAGACATCGCCACCCGGAAATAAAAAGCAACAGAGTCTTGGAATGTCTTGGACATGTCAGACTGTATGGCGCTTCCCGCTAGCCCGCTAGCTAGCCTTGGAGAGAGGCCCGGAATCACTGCAAAGATCGATGGACCGCTTGCCCATTCAAAGGTCTGGGTAGGCTAGTAGGCAAAGGGCAGGGGGTGTTGAGTGTCGAAGAGACCCTGTTTGACGCAGTTTTTTTCACGCCAAGCCTAGGGGGCGCTCCCTTGGCATAGCGGCGACGACCCAACGTTGGAGACTGGTCCCGGCCGGTCGCCATGGCCTGGGATTCCTGGGCAGGTTGGCTCTTCTACAATGCAGTCCCGGCGATCGGTGCCAATTGGCAACCGATTCTGATCATCGTGTTGGCTTTGGTGCTCTTCATCGTTTTCAAAGATCGGATCTTGTTGGCCGTCGCAGGGGATAACAAGTTCCATGGAGATGTGCTCAGTGGCATGAAGACCATCCTTGGACTACTCTGCTGCAGCTGTGGCTGGAAGACTTGGTGTTCTCCATGCTTGGGCTGCTGTCAATGCTTTGATTTGCTTCTTAGTCGGTTCTGTGGTTGCAATGGGACAGCGGACTGCTCTCTAGATTCAGTTCTTTCCTTTCAGAATGCTCTTCAACGTTGTTTGGGTTTGAATCCACGCGTCGTGCTGATCTCCAAAGTCGTGGCCGGAGACCTACCCTTGGAGGAGGACAGGGATTGTGCCCTGGGCAACGTCGCGCAAAGATCGAGAAAACACCAATGATATACTGGCTCAGAATGAATACCCGAATCCCAGAATGAACCAAAGCATTGAATGAAATGTAGCTAAGCTGAGAGGAAGGAAAGAGAGAAGAGAGAAAACGCGTCAAAAGCCGAGCCACACGAATCGCAACGAACATGGACATACGTGCAACAAGGGAACCAGGCGCAAACTCCATCACACACGCCGGAAGACCAAGAACCATACCAGGTAGCAAGCAAGCAGATTCCCACCATGAACAGAACCTGGACGCAGGTGTCCCTGGGGAGTTCAGGCACCTTCAAGTGACCCAGCCAGCAACGCTGCACTGGATCGTCCCCACATGATTTTGCAGAACCAAAACTAGGACTGAATAGGAGCAAGGCCTTGTCCAGCAAGTCTGATTCTGAATGTCACAACTCTTAAACCTATTTAACACTTAAAACGTATAAAACTATTATGAAACTCTCAACAACCGCAGACAAGGCAATTTATAGAAGCTGCAAGCCCCTCATCAATCCTCCTACCATTACTATACCCGATTGAAATATTGACGTAATCCAAAAGAATTCCAAAGCGTTCCGCTTCGTGTCTTCTGTTACCTGGAATGTCATTCTATAGTCCTAGGCTCTTCTGGCTTTATACTTATGCAGTTCAGTTGGATTGCAATTTCATTTTAAAGAAGGTCAAATTCCAGAATTGTGCACCACATGATTTGATCGTGTCATTTCATGGACTTACTTTCCACATTTGTGTTGTTGCCTAAGGTTGGTCGCCTCATTTGATGGATTCAATCATGTTGGGCATTTGATCAAGAACCGGGCATGAACATCCCATTCGAATTCGAGAGACTTTTCTGTAAAATGCCTCGTAGAACATCAATTTGCTTCGGGTATGGAGAAATCACTGCCCGCTCCAAAAAGGACCGAAACGAATAGACATGACATAGACATCGACACCATTTTTCTGTGGCGAGGGTCACTCAGCCAGCGAATGGCGCCCAGTCCAGGTTTCGCAGTCGACCAAGTTGAGTAGGGCGACCATTTCTGTTCCCGAGCCATGACACACAGAATCCAGTTTCGACTGATGGGAGGACGGTGATTTTTTCTTCAGCATCGACTGTGGGGTGAGTCCTGAACAACGCTCATCTGTGGAGGAGTCGGATGGCCATGCCATTCAATTTGTGACAGGTCCGAAGTGTCATTGTTTTTTCGCGAAGATGTGTTTTTTCGTTTCAGCATCATGCATATTTACAGCGAAGATGTGATATATGTAAATATAATATATATATATAATGAATAGATAGATAGATAGATAGGAAAAATAGATAGATAGGATAGATAGGATAGGATAGACAGAGAGATAGATAGATGGGTGGATGGAAAGATGGATGGATGGATAGGATAGATCGATAGGATAGATAGGATAGATGGGATAGATAGGATAGATAGGATAGATAGGATAGATAGATTAGAAAGAATAGAGTAGAATGGAGTAGGATAGAACCGAATGATAGATAAATAGATAGATAGATAGATAGAACAGAAAGAATAGATAGAACAGATAGGATAGATAGGATAGGTAGATAGATAGGATAAATAGATAGAACGGATACATAGATAGATAGATAGATAGATAGATAGATAGGATAAATAGATAGATAGGATAGATAGACAGATAGACAGATAGACAGATAGACAGATAGACAGATAGACAGACAGACAGACAGACAGACAGACAGATAGATAGATAGATAGATATAGATAGGATAGATAGATGGATATATATACAGATAGGATAGATAGATAGATAGATATATAGATAGATACAAAGGTAGATAGGAAAAATGGATAGATAGATAGATAGATAGAAATGATAGATAGTTATACTAAGATAGGTAGGATAAATAGATATATAGATAGGATAGGATAGATAGATAGATAGAAGAATAGATAGATAGATAGAAAGGATAGATAAATATATAATTCATAGATAGATAGATAGGATAAGATAGATAGATAGATAGGATAAATATAATGATAGTAGATCGAAAGGATAGATAGATAGAACGGATAGATAGTTAGAAAGATAGGTAGAATGGATTGATAGATAGATAGATAGATAGAAAGATAGGATAAATAGATAGATCGATCGATCGATAGATAGGATAGATCGATCGATCGATAGATAGATCAGTAGATAGCTAGATAGATAGAACGGACAGATAGATAGATAGACAGATAGGATAAATAGATAGATAGACAGATAGGATAGATGCTGTAGATAGATAGACAGATTCAGATAGGATAAATAGATAGATTGATAGAACGGATAGATATAGAAAGATAGGATAAATAGGATAAATAGATAGATATATAGAAATGATAGATAGATAGATAGGTTCATAGGATTAGATCGATAGATAGATAGATAGATAGATAGGAAAGAAAGAAAGATAGATAGATAGAAAGATAGAAAGGATAGAAAGGATAGATAGGATAGATAGGATAAATAGATAGATACATAGATAGAAAGGATAGAAAGGATAGAAAGATAGATAGATAGATAGGATAGAATAGAATAGAATAGAATAGAAAGATAGATAGATAGATAGATAGATAGATAGATAGATAGGATAGAAAGGTTAGATAGATAGATAGACAGACAGGTATATTAGATAGATAGGATACATAGACAGATAGATAGAGACTTACACACGCTTTTTGTCGAAGTCTCTTTTCTCCTCCGATCTAAGGCAGACAGTATGTTGTGCAAGGTGCGTCACAGCTTCTTTGAGCACCCGGTGCATATCGCGATATGGCGCTTACACTTCTTGTCCCCCACGAAGCTTTGCGAGGTCTATTTGCGGCCGAAGGTCCTGTTCGAGCTCGCGCACCGCAACGAGGACAGCCGAAAGACCTGGAGAATTGCCATGCACTCGGTGGACGCGGCCGCAGGGCAGCGAACACATCCGTGGATTTGCTTTGAGGTCCAGGAACTTGACAGCGGTTTGAAAGATCAATATCAATCACTCACGATTACGGAAGATGCTCCTGTGGATACAGAAAGTGGATGTGGAGGGGTATCTCCCTTGTGGTGTGGCAGCCCTAGAGTTGCCAGCCTGAATTTAGTGGCTCGCCAGTCAAACTATGCCAGCTTCAAATTGCAACGCTCTGAGCTCTACGATCAAGATTTGAAAGCTATGAGAGAACCCGTAAACACAGGTGAGCACTATCGCTGTCTCAACCATCGATGGAGTAAGCGAGTCTGCCATGGAGCCTTCCTGGTACTGTTGCTGATAAGCTTGCCTAGGTTGTACATCATGTCTTGCTATCACCAATATGAATGGTTGGCTGTGGCTGAACGACAAGGCGACGCGGTCACCAAGACTCGTGAAAAGGTCTGGACGAACCCCGAGCTCTGGACCCTCTGGCAGGAATGCGTCCAAGACACCATTGGCCTCGAGGATGACACGATCAACAAGACGAGCGGATTTCTTCACTATTGCCGACCAAAGGAGGAAGAAGTGGAGGAGACATGCCAGTTGCTCGCCCAAAACACCTCACTGCAACCAGCTCCTCGGGCCTTCAAGGAAGTGCTGGATCTCTTTCAAGACAGCGGTGGTCTTGGCCAAGCCATTGTTCGACAGCTGCGGAATTTGGATCAAACCCTTCACAATGTGGACTCCAGCAGGACACCCCAGTATCTCCTCACAGGTGGACTTCCCTGCCCCTGTAATGTCGTGATGGTGAGAAATTTGAAGGTCTTCGGCCAGTTACGACTCCATGCATGTCTCGACCTCCTAATTCTGCTTTTGATCATATTTATTCTGGTGATGCGGTGCTGGTTCATGCCACAGCGTGTTCTACAATCAGCCTGAGCTTATCAAATAAGGGTCTGAAGCCCTTTTTTTGCACCAAGTAGTAGTCCTGTTTCACTCCGTTTCAAAAGGTGCCGTCCACGACGAAGAGTCGGTATGAACATCGGCGAAGAACGGGGAATGAAAATGGACCCGAAGGGGTGGCGCTGCGCTGCGCAGAATTGCATTTAGTTGGCACATCAAAAGTATGACCCTCAAACCGGCCCGGCCTTTTTTCCTGCACGTTTCTTTCTGCCGGCCTGTTGTTGTGTTTTGGGATGTTTTCGGTGATTTTGCACCATTGGACAATTGAAATATAATATGTATATATATATATATCGTTTTTCCCCAAACAGTTTCCTGTTGGGGTTCTCTCTTAGGAAAAAAAAGAGCTGGCCACACAGTCTGGACTCCTCCTTTTGTCCTGATATTGTCCTGCTGTTGTCCTCTGGCCGCGCTGGCCAACCCGGTGTTCTCCTCTTGTCCTCCTCTTGAAAGACAACTCCAGAAAGCTACCCCAGAAGCCGATGTAAAGAAAAGCACAATTTTAATGAAAAGAAGCCCCTAGCCCTAGCAGCTTCATGCTCCTTCCCCAGAAGCCGATGTCCTCTTCTTTTGCTTTTCCTCTTGCACTGGCCACAGTGTCAGGCCGCGGAAAGCCCCGTCCGGGTGTCCTCCTTTTCTCCTCATGTTGCATTTTTTTTTCGGTCCTGTCCTCCGCATGTTCTTCTATTGCCTTCTTGTTGTCCTTCTTCAGGTGTTCATTGGCTGTGGCTGCCAGGTTTTCCTTCCCTCATCCTTTTGTCCTCTGTTGTCCTCCTCATGTCCTCCTTTGGTCTTTCTGTTGTCCTGCTGTTTACGTCGCTGTCGAAGGCTGCGGCCGCCCACCACCACAACAACGATTCTTGCCGACTAAGCTGTTTGGGGTCTATGCTGGTACAATTTATGTTTTTATGTTTGCCTTTTTTTTTCCGGGAGAGTGAGAGCAACAACAACTCCCTACAGGTCAATTGACACCATTTTACTGGAGTTGGTCATACAAAAACACTATTCAAGGAGGTAAAATAGAACAGACTTTACTGGGTCAGACCGGACTTGTAGGGACTCACCTAGTGGACGGTTCTGTGATCTCCTTTCGCCGAAGAAACAACAGCCCATGTCGGACCTAAGGGAAGGTCTTCCGGCGATGCTCTACGGCCCGGTGCCTGGGAAACGGAGCAGAAAGCAGGAACGTCCTTCGCTCTTTTTCAACGAGAAATCACGTTCTTGAACAGATGTGGATCGTTTCATCGCTGTGGGTTGACGTGAAAACAAGCTGTTTTTTCTGCTTTTCTTTCCGTTCAGGCCATGGCACCAGGTGGCAGACGGCCTGAAACATCGAGACGTGAGGGTTCTAGATTCGACGTCCTGACGTTCGACGACCTGACCAGCGAGAGAAAACAGGACGCCCAACTAAGGAGTGTTGCTTGGTCATGTTCTTCTTGAAAGGTCTTGATATGTTTTGTTCATTTTTGTTCCAACTTTTGCCCCTCCAGAGCGATGTATGAAAGTAGCCGTCAGCCTTTATTCATGATCTACAGCAAGAGTGGCTGCTTCTTGAAAACTGCTGATTTTTGGACGTATTGGTGCAACGAGACGTCAGCTTTCTTTCGCGGCACGCAGAGAGTTTGGCTTGCGTTCAGTCCGGCCGGAAATTCACAGCCGAAAGGGTCGACATGGGCGTGGGAGGCTAAGTGATGCTTCTAGAACTCACTTGGCCCATATCCTTCTTGTCTACACATCCATTTGCTGAACCTTCACTGAGATTTTCCCGGTCCAACACGACGGGACACACGACGGTCCAACAGAACACCAAGGCCTCTGAGGGTGCATTGAGGGAGCATGATCCCTTGTCCTAGACCTCAGCGAAGCCAAACGAAATCGGCTGAAGACTCATATAAAGTGTGTTTGAATGGATTTCACTTCTTCGTTGCCTGAGAGGTCTCCCTATTTGAGCTACACACCCTTGTGAACTGTTTGCTGATCTATGCTGATCTGATATTTCCTGTCGGAATGAGGCTCCCTGAGATGTCACGAAGGCGCCCCAATGTGACACAAAGATCATTTGTTGGCCAAAAACGACGCAGATTCCCAGGTTCTGCAAGGATTGGTTGACCAGATGAGTCAACCACAGATGAGACAGATGAGTATATATACTTGATTGCATGGTTCTGTGGCTTTGAAACTGGTGAAACACCATGGCTTCACCCTTTAATACATTGAAAGCGTAGCAGTGCCATCATGAAATCATTTTGATCAACCATATTGTATTCATAAATTCATAACCACCCCCCCGGCCACCCCCCCTTCCCAATACTACACTGAAATAACATGAAATAACCACTGTTGCCAAAAATAACCTGGAAACAAAGACTAATAGGTCTTGATACACGTGAATAACTGGAAATTAGTGATTTCAGAAAATAAAATTGAATTAGATCCAAAAAGCACTGAATTAGGCTTTGGTGGGGTTCTGTGTCTTGAAAGCAGAATTTCAACTTATATAAACATAAGACATTGTCCTAAATAGTGTTGAATTAATCATCGGTCCTGAGAAGATGAGGAACTTTCAATGTAGTTCATTAGTTGGCAATGCTGTGACGCCGCACTTTCAGATCAGGACATAGCAGCACGATTCTTCAATAATGTAGACACCTAAATCAATATGTTTATTTTTCAAATAACAGTACTTTCTTTTTTCAGATTTCGAAGAGGGGTTGAACAGTTAACAAAAACTAATTACGCATTCGAAAAGATATACCAAAAATACGGTATGTAAGTATGCCTTTCTGGGAAATAAACTGGTGCGTCCACATCCCAAACCTTTCGGTGTGAGTTTCTAGAAATGGATTATGGGAGCTTCTAGGTTTTCCCAGGAGCAATGCTATTTTCATCTGAATCGAATCTTCTCTCAATCCTAAGATCCACTAAGTTGACATATTGTGCACAACTCATGTCATGACGACATTTTGTTTCAAGGTGACTCCTTGTAAAGGAAACCCTGCAATGCACAGTGACTCAGTCAGGCAGGAAACCTGAAGAACAACCCTTCTTCAAGGGTTTATCCACTGTGATTTGCCAGATCAATGCTCAGTCAGTAGCCAAGCCGGAATAACCCTTATAAGGTTTTTGCTGGTTTATTTCTAAAAGGCCTTTCGTTGGCTCAAAGGTCTATTTTGGGAAGGGGGGTGGTTTGGGGGGTGGTTTGAAATATATACAGTAATATATTTATACAGATATGGGTTTGATAATATGGGTATATATATATTTGAATATAAATAATTTATCTACTTCTATCCGGTGAGTCCATCCTCCAACCTATTTCAGCTCGCACAGGCCTAGGGCAGATCGATCGAGCAAAGCCAGGCCGGGCAGCCGAGTAAAGGGAAATTTGGCAATGATGACTTCATTAGACTGAACTAGCACCGACGATGACTTCATTGTGACATGAGGTTGCAAAAGATGTGAAAAGGTCATGTAGCAAGGTAACTGGATACATCCTGTGCATCCTGCAGAGCGATTCCTCGTTTGACTCAGGAGCAATGAAGCCTCCTCCGGCACCCTGGCGTTCCTGCAAGGGTATACTTGATGATACTTGATGAATATATGACCACATGCGTACACGCACCCATGTTTGTTGCATATTGTAGACAGTATATTGTATATGCGGTTATGGTTTGAAACAAGTTCCATTTCCATAGTTACGGCTTGAACACATAGACTTGACGAAGCTGAGGTACCTTGCTGGGCATGCAATATCTTCCCAAGGCGAAACACAAAAGACATGTCTTCCGGGCAGAGTGTGGTGGATTGTCAGATCATTGGCCTCGCTGAAGATCGCCAGACTGCAGTTGTCCAAACGATTTAGCGGCAGGGCGCGAGACAGCCTCTGTCAGAAGAACAAAAGTGCTGTGGGCTTAGTCATTGGCCAAAGATGGACACCATGTAGGTCATACCATCTCTCAATTCTCCTAGTCCTAGTCATATATGAGACAATTAATCAAGAAGTCGCTCATGTGCATGCAAGATGTTTGGCTGCTCGTTTGACACCGGACAAGACGGGGATTGAGTTCAGACCTGAACCATCCTGAACCCATGAGTTCCTTCTTGTTCGTTTCCACATGAGTTCATCTAGTTTCCACAGTGTCTCCACCACTTCGCGAGTCAGCTGTCTTCGTCAGCTGCTCCCTCACGGCGAGGTCCAACCGCTGACTCGGATCTGAGTACCACAGATGGCAGCGGCCGAAGCCAGGACGAGCCGGTCGGACGAGCTGATCGACATCCACCCGGATTTTGACTCGAGATCCAGCATTGATCAACCATTCATGCACCTGTACGTGGAGAGGCCCACCAAAAGTAAGCCCAACCAGACAACCTCGAGGTTTATTTGTGAAATAAGTGAATTGTTGCACTGCACCAGGACTGTGACAGTGACAGCTACGGTGATGTCGAGATCTCAGAAATGAAGACCCATATATACTCGTACCGTACTGTGTTTGCAAATATATATATATACATATATACATAATTAACCATATATATATATATATCTATTATATATATATATATGCATCTCTTTACACATTTCACATATATGTGTCATGTTTGGTTGGGCCATGCATCGTGTCACACATACTCAGCATAGGTCTATCTTATTTATGTCACCTGGAGCAGCGTCCCCAAAAGCACCGTTTCGAGGAAAACCTCTCACCTTGTCGCTCACCCACGTGTCACGAGGCGCCACCGTCTCACGGAAGTGGGATTGCAAGAGATGTGGATGAGTCAAAATCTGGAGCCTGACCAGTCCGCCATGTAGCAAACGACCTTCTAAGTAGGTCAGCAGATGGGACCCACAGCCCCACAGCCATATATAGAAGGGAGGCAAACCCCTTGAGACTGTTCAATTCAAGTCTGTTTAGCGCATCGAGACATCGCCATCGCGCCGCCTTGAGCGCCGTTTCAGACATCGATCGGCGTCGCAC